TTGTTGTTGTTGTTGTTTTTATCTAGATCTTACATCTTCAGTGTTACATTTATTCTTGGGTATTCTCCTTTTGTTACTATCATTAATAGAATCTGTGTAAGTTTCCAGTAAGTTTTCTAAAAGGTTACTTATGGCAATATAAAAAATACTGATTTTCATATATTTATTTTTAAAGTAGCAACCTTAGGGAAATTTCTTATTTGTTCTTATTGCTTCTAATATATATTTTCTGTTAGAAAATACTATCTGCAAACACTGATGATGGTCTCATTTTAAACACTTGATTTCTTTTTCTTGCATTAGTGCATTGCATTGCCTCAATTTCAGAGCAATGTTAACTGATAGAGGTAATAGCTGCCACCTTGATCTCCATCTGATTTTAAGGGGGCTACCCTCAATTTTCACTGCTAAGTTTCATATTGGCTATTGGTTTGAGGGAGATGTTCTTTACCATGTGAAGGGAATATTACTATAATTCTAGTTTCCAGTTTTTTTCTTGAAGAGGATAATGAATTTTATCAGATGCCTTTTCGCCATCCATTAAGATGAGACAGTCTCTCTTGATCTATTAATTACATTCTGAAAGTCAACTTTATTTAGTCATGGTTTATAGCTGTGTTTAAAATTTAGGAACTTCTGATTATCCATTGAAAAGATTAGGTTATATTTTGTATTACTTTTTTGATGTTTTGTTATTCTAGATTTGAGCTCTGAATCGAGAAATTGTTTTTTTTCTGTTATTCAACAGTTAAATGAGCATTATTTTCTGCCTTCCTTTACAGTCACTCCAGGCATCTCAGATGCACTGGCCCTGCTAGTTCTGCTAATGCTCTTCCCTCCACTACCATCACCTCATGCTAAACTCCTACTTGCTTCTTAACACCCAGTTTAACCATCAACGCTTCTATATAGCACTCTCCCACCACTCCCATAGTACTAGCACATCCTTTATTCCAGCATTAATTCTACTATATTTTACTTGTCTATTAACCTATTTTCCCCTCTAGAATCTGAGCAGAGACAGTCATGTATGCATTAAAAAAAATCCTCAATCTCCAGTGCTTATCAGAAGACCTGGCACATAGCACATCGTTAATAACTCTTTGTTATATGAATAAGTCCATAATTCATTTTTGTTTTAAATTTTGCCAGGGAAGAAAATTTGGATGCTATGTATACTTCTTTGCCATTCTTTGACAGTAAAATAGAGATAATATCACTTACTGCCCTTCTTCACACCTGATAGAGTTACTGAGCTGGGATAATAGATGGGCAAGAATAAGGTGAAAGTGAAAGAATTAAATATAAAAATCCATAATAGTGATTAGACTTTCTCTGATATTAACAACAGGTAAAGTGCATTGAGCGTTTACTATGTTCCAGGTGTGAAATTATTAAATTTATTTTTTATAATAGCCTGTAATTTCAGGTGAGTAAATAAAATTTTAGAGAGCTTAAGTGACGTGTCTGAGGTGAAACAACTGGCAAGTCAAAGACTTTCTGAAATCAGGGTCTGCTATCTGGAAACTATTATGTATCGACTCACCAGTGAAGACAGTGTGCTCCACTGAAATGAGAAAAGCAACAAACAATAAGCCCAGGGTGAAAATTTGGTTACATACCTGCTTCTCAGGTTTTGCTTAAGTTTAGAGCCTACCAGGAAGAAAGAAAACGATTATCTGCCTCCTTGACTTTTGCATCATTTGTGTTTCTTCTGATGAAAGTGGGGCTAATCGCTGAGTTAGGGTTCCTTTATTTTTAGTCTACACTATGTTGCTTTATCCTAAAAGGATAAACATGGGCTGTGTGATGGCTGACCACCTTTCTTGTTCCTTCTATGAAAGTCTGAAAGGGCACAAGACAGGTAAGAGGAAACAGCTTTCCTTTAGTAAATAAGTTGCTAGATTTCTGAGCTCATGGCCCTGAGTTACACGTGAATGACTTTGACCTGTAATCTGAAATAAGATAGACTTCAGGGTTCACCTCCCCCACCATTCCACTTCAAAGGTGAGGTAAGGTAGAGTTGCTAAATGTACAGTATGAAGGGCATCTGGCATTTAACTGTTGACAGTATGCCAGCTCTAAGACCTGCTTATTCCATCTCCAACCATTCCTGCTTGTTCCCCACTCCAGGCTGTGATCCCCCAGAGTGAGTGATAGAAGTGGCAAGAGGTTGTTCAGTAGATTAAAGACCCAAGTCACCAGAGGCTGCCATCTCGCAAGAATATTTAGACATTTTTCCACTTGGCAGTCATTAATATTCTTCAGCAAAGAGTGAAAAGAGAGCCTGTTCAAAAAGGCTCCCTCTTCAGATCTCTGTACCTTGGAAGATAAAGTGAATGAAAGGGTTTTGTTTTGAAATTAAATATTCATTGGATTGAGTTAGAGCTATTACTGTTCTTGAGAATAAAACTGGATTTTTCCTTTGTTTTAAATAACTACAGTCATTTTACGTTAAGAATTCATTTCTGTACCAAATCGGTCATGATTAACACATGGTGTGATTTTTCTAATATAATAGACACAACAGGGAAATGAATACAGAAGGGCTCAAAGTATTTTATAGAGGGTATACGAGCAATTTGACATTGCAGAAAAGCTGTCAGAAAGAAACACCATGGAATAGAGGAAAGAGGCTGGGAATCCAACCCCAGGAACTGTGACAGCCTCTGGGTGAGATCTTTGGCTCTGTTAATTGACAGCTGTTGTGGAACATATCTGAATTTCCGTTTCCTAATCTGTGAAATGGAGAGCATATTCTTTTCCTCTTGGGGTTCGTGTAAAGATTTGGAAACGGTAGCTAGAAAATGAGTGGCACGGACAAAGCAGGAGCACAACAGTGGCAGTGATGATCCCCGTTTTCACATACATACCAAGACTGGTCACTAAATGGCTGGAAAGCCATTTACATCTGTTTACTCTCTCTCTCTTTTTAATCTTCCAGGCACCATTGCTCACATTTCCCTTGAATTTAAACATCTTTTAAAAGCTTTCAAAGCTTTGAAGGTTGATTTCAACGAAACCTGTTTTTATTCTAGGCGTTTTATCGACTGTCATTCTGAGTAAAACAAAAAACATTTACTGTCAAAACAACAAGGGCTTACTCTCAAGCACAAAATGAAAGCAGATATGTCTGCCTGATTTATTTTGGCATCCACCTAGCAGTTAAATAGGACACCTTTTAATTTGTCACTTCTTTAAGATTCATTTATGTTGGCAAAGTAAATCCCCAGTGCTTGGTTTCAGCTAAACTTCAACGAGTTGGGTAAAAGAGTTTATTCTTTTTCACCCAGACACAGAAGCTTTGAAAGGTGCCAGTTAAAGATGGAACTACGTATTGAGCAGTGTAAGACAGTAACATCTAATGGATTTTTATTTTTACTTTGAATGGGAGGAACTTACAAATTGAACTTATTACCAAAGATCCACTAGCAGTCTGAGAAGAGACACAGAAGGTCAATGTTTTTCAAAAAACCTAGGTAGAACTATTTCAAACAGTGAATATCCAGTTATTTTAAAATTAGACTCAAGTATGAGTAAAGAGACCCAGTATTCAAATCTCAACTCTGCCATTTGCTGGCTGGGGAAGTTACTTAATTTATCTGAATCTCAGTTTCTTTATCTATAAATTGGAAAATATCTATCCCTTCCAGGTTGTTTAGAAAACTAGCTGAGGCAATGAACATAGAGCAACTAGCATCTGCCTGGCACATACTAGCTATTCAACATGTGCAAGTCACTGCTTTTATTAAGAAAAACTTCTGGTTTGCCGCGGTAGCTTTCGCCTGTATTTCTAGCACTTTGGAAGTCTGAGGCCTGTGGATCGCTTGCTTGATCTCAGGAATTTGAGACCAGCCTGGGCAGCACAGTGAAACCCCATCTCTACAAAAAAATACAAAAATTAGCCAGGCGTGGTAGTGCATGTCTGCAGTCCCAGCTACTTGGAGGGCTGAGGCGAGAGGATTGCTTGGGCCCAGGAGGCAGAGGTTGCAATGAACCAAGATCACACCACTGCACTCCAGCCTGGGCAACAGAGTGAAACCCTGTTTCAACCAAAACAAAACAAAAATGAAAACAAAAACTTCTGCAACGTTGTCTAACAATTCAGTCCAAGATTGAGCATTTCTCACTGTATGGAAGTTGTTTCTTCTGTCTACTCCAAATTTACTTGGCTAGAATCTAAGCCCATTTTCTCATTTTCTCAAAGTTAGCAATAACATCTGTTTAATACCTTCTTTGTAACAAGGCCAGATTGAGGGCTTTTGTTTATGCAGTCATTAACACAACCATTTTTAAACAGTGCTGTTTTTTTGCATCTCAATGACCTAATTGTAATCTGGCTGATTATTTGATTTAGTTACAAAAGGAAATAAAAATCACACACACACACACACACACACACACACACACATGCACACATACATACATATGTACACAACACCCACGTATATTCATTTTTTTCCTGTTCTTCAATACATACAATCCAGCTTCAGGCCTTTTTATTTTGGTGTGGATTTCGAGGGGAATGTAAAGATAAATACTTCCTTCTTGAGTCCCTTAAAGCAGATGACCTTCAAATGAACAATGGGGAACTCTTGACACTCTAGATTAATCTCCGTTTTCCAATCAATAGTTTAATTGGTTTTTTGTTTTGTGTTAGGGGAAGACACAATCCACAGGGCTAGTCCCAGAGTCTTTCCCAGTTTCAAAAGTCCCATGCTAAATGTGGTCCAAATACCACATCTACCCAGGGCTTGCTTTTTTCCTGACAACATCCTCCTTCCTATCTGTGGCTGCTTTTCCAAGCATAGCAAGTACTTGAATTCAACTGAAGGCTGACAAATTGACCTTACTCCCCAGTGAAGCTTGCTCTTTTTAGCCCAGGGCCAGGAAAACAGAGGCTGTCACTTGGTCAGATGGAATCTTAGGCAAAGCAATTTCCTCTTCCAATCCAAGCCTGAATATCCAGTGAAAACTTGTAGAATAAAGCCAGGCTAAGGTGTTGTTCTCAAACATGTTTATTTGTAACAGTTTTACATGGTGTGTTACAGAAATTAATGGAAAATTTCTAAAAATTTTGCTGTTCTGTTGAATGCATTGTACATAAAGTTAAAAATAATGTGTCCATATATGTTAACAAACTGTCATCTGAGGTAAAGTTAAAGTAGGTCTAGAAATGTACTGCAACAGTCATTTTCTCTTTCTCATCTTTATTAAAAAAATATGTGTCAGAACGCAGAAATTGAAATGAACCAAACCCACAGAGTAAACATTTGTTTAAAAGAAGGTGCCCGGTACATTACATGATGGGGTTTCAGGAGACACTGGGATGAGTACGAGCTATCAAAAAAGTTTTGTGGCATGTAAAGATTGAAGAGCTATGGAGAATGGGGACAAAATGACAGGTGGCGTTTCCCTGGTTTCAAAATTTAAAGTGACAAATTTAGTGCTAGTGGAGGATGAGGAATTAACAGTTGTACACATGGATTTTCTATTGATCTAACCAGAACTGTGCAGACCCCCCCATGGTCTTTTGGTATTGGCACCTCAGCTCTTGCTTGGAAATTTCACTGTATTCCTGGGACAGGATACGGTGGTTCCGGGCTCACCAAACAGTGCTTGGAAAAAAAAAAATCAGAATGCTGCCAATGAGAATATGGATGGCAGTTGAAAAATCTTGACTTTATTTCCCTCACTTTAATGCATCACTTGGGCATCTTCTTGAAGTTCAGAGCCAGTTATATTTTCAATCATGTTCAATGAAGGAGGACAAGTCCCCTGGACTTTCACCTTCTGCTAGGAAATTAACTCCAGATGGTATACCTGAAACAGCAACATCAGCCAGAGTTCCCTTTGAATGTATCACAAGCAACTCAAAGAATTGGTATAACGGTGTGATACTGCAAGACAAACTCAAGACAGCCATATTGAGGGAGAAGATAGCACCACTTGTTTAGAATCAAATCATAGACAACAAAGCAATTTAAGCAATTTCCCATGGGAACTGCCTATCTTATCAAATCCCCAGAAAACAATTGAACTGGTCTCAAGCCAACTCTTACAGTCATTCCACCTTTCCCATCTTCCCCTTCATGTGAAAGGGCTACCTAATCTAAAATGTTTGCTCATTCCTTGAGAAACTCTGTGGACCAACAGGTGATAGCTACAGAGGGAGGTAAACGGCCCTTCTCACTTTTCTGGTTCTTCGGACCTTCCACATTAGGATGACATTGACATATATTCTTGAATAGACATTTGGTCAGTTTATCTAACTGAAAAAAAAATTAGACTCCTGTGACCTGATAGTGTAAAATGTGGGCTTTAAATGATAACCATTACCTTGATGTATCACTTTTCTCTTTGTGAACAAGTATACAATCATTTTCAAATCAATCTCCCAAATCATTTTAGTTTCTATTGATATGAAGAACCAAATACAGGCCTATTCAAATCAATCATATCAATGGAAATTCTACTTTTCAAATCTTAAAACCAAATAATAATTATCCCCAAATCCAATTAATCACACGAATCTTTAAAGTTTTCTTCTTAGTGTTAAAACACTAAATTCAACATACGGTAACTGCATAGGAACATCAGGAAAACACACTTGACCTGTATAACAATTCTCTGTAGGGCAAAAATATATAGATTCTTTATGAAAATCATGTGCTAAACATACGAACCAAACACTGCACTTTTTGTCTCATAAGTGTAAAAAAAGGAAGCTTAGCCTCTTCTGTTTCACGTACAAACAGTCCAGTGATTTATATGGGGTAGGTGGGAGGGGGGAGGTGGGAGAGTTTCAGAATCTGAATTCTTCAGAATGTGAATTGTCTTTTTCTTGTGTTGCACAGAGGGTGGGGACTCTCGTGGAAAGGCTAGATGATGGAGTCACGTGCTCCCTTCCCGTTCACTAGCTGCTGATTGGCCAACTGCTCGTGCCAGCGGTCCCTGCACTCCAGCTTCCTACCATATGCTCCAGAATAACATCTGGAAAGTGAGCCCCATCCATCAAGTTTGTCACACCTTGCACTCAATCTGCTACCTTCTCTACAGTGTAATGGCATTATTAAAAAGCATTTTCATTAACATTTATATTTACAAAAAAAAAAAAGCAACAAATTTTTTTTCATTAGAACTCCTTAAAGCCATTTCCCTTAAATATTTAAAGAGTTTAATGGTAAGGTTTTTTTTTTTTTTTCTCAAGTTATAAAATAAAAATCCCATTTGAATTTTCTGATGTACAAAAAGAGATAGAGATGAACCATTTGGACCACGGAATCAGTTTGTTATTCTGAATATGTATGCCACCATTGTTCCTTTAGAAAGTTGGTTTTTAAGATTCAAAACCACATTACCAGAATTGTACCAGAATTATTTGGCAAATGACTTTTCTTTGAAAATGGCACGTGGAGAAGACACTTGTCTGCATAGCATCACAGCAGCAAGATATCGGAAAAATAAAAAATATCATTTTATTGTACTTAAGAGTTTAGAGCTTCTTAAGAAATCAGATGCATTTTTTCATCTTTCTCATCAATGGGATCTGATGTCTTTTCCTACTCACAGAATGAAGGTTCAAACTGAAAGCTGTCTTTCTTCACCAGGATGCAGAATAGCTAAAGGATTGTTTTGGCAACATTCTTGATCATAACAAATAATCAACCACTTATTTGTCTTGTAATTTCAAGTTAATTCATTTCACTGAGGCTTTTTTTCTCCCCAGTTAGATTTCTTCACCCATATCTAAAAAAAGTCAAAAGCAATACAAAAATTTGTACACCTACTAATTTTCAAACATGACAAAGAAAGGAAAGGGGGGAAAATGGCAGACCAGGCCCCATGGAGTGACAAAAAACACATCATCCTATGTGAAAAGGCATATGGATGATGATATTGTGGTCACAGAAGACCCTTTGCTTTTGCTTAAAGAAGTCAGTTCCAACCCTGTTGTAATCCTCTGATGCCTGTCACTCCAAATTTGGTGTCTCAACAGTGGTCAACAGGTAGAAAAGTAAAAAGGGAATTAATAATTTTGCACACTGGGTCACCTTAAACCCAGCTATGAGGGCTCAAATATTTGTTGGGTAAGCATTTGCTTGATTTGTGATTTAATGTTGGGTGGATCTTTCTATACTTTTCTGTGTGTGCTGCCATAGATATCTGCCATTGGTTGCCAAAAACGCTTAGTTCCCTCTTCTGAGCGAGTTCCATTGGGCAATCATGAATTTCTTGTGGGATGAGGTGAAAGAATACAAGAGAGCCTGTCGTGATGCTGATGTCCATGCCAGTCTTGAGCACCCACCACGAGCTCGCATCGATGCTATTTCTTAGGTCTGATGATCTGCGCGTAGAGAGGCTCCGGCTCCTGTGGATAAAGGAACAAAGTGAGGCCTGCCCTTTCCCCTTGCATGGATTTTCTGAGACAGCTTTTGGAAAACGGGTTTAGGATTAAAACAGAAAAGTGACAGTTTATGATGGATGACCTTAGGTTATTTTTGGAGTATTTGATGAGGGTGCATATCATTTTGGCAACACTTTTATCATCCAAAATAGCTATGCACTCAGTTCTGTCTTTCGTATTCAAGTTGGAACTGATTGCCCTGTTAGGGAAATAGCATGGTATAGTAGGGAGTTAGAAAAGCTGTGTCATGTGGACAAGATACTTATCCTGAGTCTTGGTTTCTCCAACCACAAAATGGGAATAATACTGTTTATCCTACAGGGTTCTTGAGGGAATTAGAGATTGCATATATAAAGTATCTAGCACAATGCCTGGTAGCAATACATCTTCAGAAAATGCTAACAATTACTGTGAGTCGAGTGGACATTTTTCCAACACAGTTTCATAAATGTCCACTTGAGAACCCTGAAATTCTATTTAAAATTACTCTTCTACAAACAGTGATGCCTGGGTGCACTGTTGAGCAAGAGAAACAGCAAGTGTGTCTTTGGCTTTTAATTACAAGCTTCTGGACTTGTTTCCATTCAATCTGAGACCTCCGCTTTAGCCAATCATTTGCCTACACCCAGGGGGCTGTCCCGAAGCACAAACAGGGATTTTCAACCAGCATGTAATGCAGCAAACCTGCAATCCACACCTAGGTAGGAAACAGTGTTCCACCCTATTTAAACCATGTCAGACTTCAGCTTATGTTGAGATGGCTCACTGTGCACTGGCCAAGCATGCACAGGACCTGCTGTTAAAATTGACCTTTATGCTGTCACTCTTGGAGGTCTGTGCCAGAATTAAATGGACACCAGGAAATCCTAATTTTACCATATTTTATATATTAGCTTGTCTCCTGCCATGCCATATAGGTTATTATTATTTGCTTATTTTCTTGAAACTTCAAAATGAATTGGCATTCTGGGAGCCCCTACCATGTGACTGGCACCATGCTAGGTATTTTCAAGTACACTGTCTTTTTATCTCATCACAACAGCCTTGTAAGGCAGATGCTTTCTCTCTTTTGCAAGGGTGAAATTAAGTACAGAGAAGTTAAATAATTTGCCCACGGTCACACAGTTAGTAAGTCCAGAGACATGAGAACTGAAAACAGGGTCCAGGGGCCAGTGCTTTTTCTAGTCTTTACAACAGTGACCATTAGAGACAGAGAGAGAGAGACCCCAATCCTTCCATCTGTAAGTGCTTCAGAGTTTACAAAGCACCTCATGTCTTATTTATCTGCCTTATAGTCCTGGGGGTGGCTTTTATTTTTTGAGTCCTCCCTTTGCAGACAAAAACTGAAGTTCTGAGAGGTTGTGTGATCTCAAGGTCATTGTGCTGTCTCTCGTGTGTAGCATATCATATTGCTTGCTTTCTACTGTAAAGTGGAATGGCCTAGAAGATAAGGTTGTCCCGGCCCATCATTGTACAGATGAGGAATCTGAAGTCCTGTGAAGACGGCTTTTGTTTCTTCAGAGTCACAGGGTTACTTAGTATCCATGCCAAGAGTAGACTGCAGGACTCCTGCCATCAGATCCAATTTCTGGTTCCTCTAGAACTTGTTATGTTTCTGTTCTTCCAATGGGAAGGAACTGCTTTCCTTGAGGCACCCTATTATGCAGTGTAACAAAGTGCCAACTTGTCCCTCCATGCCTTCCACCCATAGACTTTCTACTGCCCTTGGAAATGTAAATAAGTATAATCCTTCTTCCAAATGTCTGATGACAGAAAAGTATGGAAGCCCATTCTTCCATGCCCTACTTCTAGGTTACCACTTGCCAGTTCCTTCTGCCATTTTACAAATATGAACCTAGCACAGTAGGTCCTCAATGAGAGTCTGTTGAATTACTGAATGACTATAATGCTGTTTCTAGTTTCCTCACAGTTCTGATCCCTTTGTCCTAAATACACTCCAATTTGGCTTTATTCTCTCAAAATCAAATGTAGCAAGATCTATAGTAAGATTATGATTTATTAAACACCAAAGCTATTCCTTTCCAGTCTCTTGAACGATTTCAAATACCTGTTGTAAGGCTAAACATGTAACTTTACCGCATGTTTGTGTTCTATAAGTGCGGTGGGTGGAGTCAAAAATAGTTAAGTACAACTACTGGAGAAAAACATTTTTTTTTTTTTTTGCTTGTGCTGGGCTTCAAGGACGCATCTTAATGTTTCCTGCGTAGACGTTCTCAGCCCATTCTTCTTTTTGGATGCCCCAAGAAGTCAGGCTGCCTTGATCTCACCCTACAATTTGCTCTATTCTAATTTTGGAAACTAATTTATCCAACTGAAAATGACACCTAAAAGCAGAAGAAGACAGCAGGCTCAGACAGGGTAATTAATGCCACACTGCATTAACTTTCTGCAGCTGAGATAAATATTCACACATCTCCTGCTTGCCGGAATTTAGCTTCAAATACCCATCACAACAGCAGTAACGACTGCAGTCAACTCTCAATTATCCCCACTAATGAAGGGGAGCAGTGGTGTGGAAAACCCCAAGCAGCAGATAATCCCAAAGTCTAACACTGTGATGCATTATACGTTTTGGCAATAGCTCTACCTTCCTTGTTACGGAATCTTAGACTGTCAGAGTTAGAGGGGAGCTAAGGAATCATTTGATTCAGAAATTTCCAACCTGGCCTCTGGCAAGGTCATAATGGGGTCTTGGAACTATTTTCAAAATTCCAAAAGCCTAAATGGAATCACACATTAACATAACATGCTGTTGATGTTTTTGTTTCGTTTGTTTGTTTTCTTTTGGCAGATTTGTCCACGTCTCTGCCCTGCTTCAAATCCTTCAGAGGCTCCCCATCACCCACAGGGTAGGTCAAAGTGCCTTCGCCGGGCACATAAGGCCCATTAGTCTCTTAGTCCATTAGAGATAATAAATACCCCTTCTAGACCATAAATCAAAACTCTACCTTCAGGTCACGTAAATCATGTTAAAAAAAATCTTTCTTTATGCTTCTCCAGGATATCTTTCTGAAATGGATTTGTCCATGCCAGTCTCCTGCCTGGAACAGCCCTCCTGGCTCCTTGTCACTCAAAGGAAAAGGCAAACTCCTCAAGACTGCACATAACATCCACCTTGCCAACTACCCTCATCTACTGCCACTCTCTCCTACATCCTACCTTCCAAACCCTACTTGGGGTTCACCGTCCCATGCTGGAATTTTCCCATCTCTGGGGCTTCATTCAGGCAGTTCCTTCTGGCTTCGGAGCCTTCTTTGTTCCTGAAGTTCATACTTCAAGATCTAACTGAAATAACAAGGCTTCCTGGACGCTGCAGGTGACATGAGCCACTGTGCTCCTGGATACTTCAGAACCTGTGCAGATCTCTGTCTTCACTCCTACTATGGCATCTCCTAGCATGTTCTACACTGAGCTCCACTGGGCCTTGCATGTCAGTATCCCGAATTCTGAATGAAGCTTGGAACATGGGAGGTGCATCCACTAACAACATGAAGAATGAAGATATGAATGAGTAAATGAACAGTTCTTTTCTTAGTGGAAGTTGGCAAATACTTGTGAACTTTAATATGATTCTGACATATTAATATCTTTATTTTTAGATAACAAAGTAGATGGAAACCATACAGTAAAAGTTAAAGCAAAATCCACCCTCTACCCTTTCTGTAAGTGAAACACCCTATTTTCTCAAAGGTGCAGTAAAAGAGCAGAAGCAAAGAAAAATAAGTCATGCAGGCCTAGCTTAGTGTTCTCCTGACAAGGCTCTGCTGCAAAGACCATCAGGGACATATCTGTAGTTGAACATGTTGGGTTATTCCTCACCACAGAGGGAGGAGCAATGAGGCATCTCTGGAAGAGGGTATTAGAAAGAATGTATGATAACATTTGGTCTTAAGGTGAGTGATTTGGGGGATGGTCAACAAAGTGGGGTTTTTCTCTGAATTGGATGCTGTCATAATGTGGGGGTAATTCTGTGATTATCCTAACAATACTTATCTGGAAGGCAAGAAGAACAGAGCAAGGCTGAAACCAGGCTAGAGAAATGTTTCATCAGTTTTCCCGTTTTGACAATGTTCATTCTTTTGCCTGTGTTCAGCCCTGATGACCTGGTGGTCTTGATTTTGTCTTGACCTATCGCGGTCACTGAGGTGCCTTGTCTGAGGCTGATGGTATGTGAAACGTTGATGCTCAGTAGGAGAATGCCAGGACCTTGCTGTGGGGGTGGGCCTGCACCTGACTGTCAGAGGCTGCTGTTCTTTTTCTTACCATCACGCATTTAGCAGCCCTAGGATTCTGTGCAGGGCACTTAACGTCTTTGGGTGCCAGTTTCCTCACCTGTAAAATGAGGCTAGAAATCCCCTCTGTGAAGGGGAACGCATGTTGATTGTCTAGCACAGAGTCTGAAACATATGAGATACTCCAAAAAACATTAGGTCCCTTATGTCTGGGAGTGTGGCTTCATCCTCCCTTTATAGACAATGGTTTTAGGCCTAATAATCACCTGTGGGTTTCGTTTCAAATGGCCTCCCTTCATAGCACATAGGTGCAATTGCAGATGAGCTCTCAGTTATTAATATAAGAATGGTGCTGGATCAGCCCAGGGAAATTGTGCAGAATGAATGTGGAGTTAATGCAAACAACCTGGCTGCAGGCCCCTGTGGGTAACAGAAATTTCCACCGTTTGCAGACTACTCCATACATCCTTTAACTATCTATGAATTACGTGCTCAACTACAGCAGCCAAGTGGACTCACAGACTGGAGTAATAATGGTATATCTCTACAGAAACTTTTACAGTCTATATATGGTCTTTCCAATGTCACATGATCTTACTTCCTTTAGTGCTCCTGTCTTCATTTTTTTTTTTTTTTTGAGACGGAGTCTCACTCTGTCGCCCAGGCTGGAGTGCAGTGGTGCAATCTCCACTCACTGCAAGCTCCGCCTCC